GCGCCTCTCAACTTTCTTGAAGGCGTGCATGCGCATAATCCTCTACCTTGCGCTCAAACGCTGACGTTTAGAATGGAGGGAACCAGCCGAATGGAAGACTCATGAGAAGGCTTTGTAAAAGCTACGTCTTCCTCTGTGCACACCCCGCTTACCATGAATATCCGACATCTTCCACTTTGCTGACCCATTTCCATTTCACAGGCTTCGGAACGTCTCCCAACAAAGTAAGGGTTCTTAGCCTTAGTAACGCCCACAACGCCCCCATTCCACGCTCTGCTCACCATAAACATTTCACCTCGGATTCCCTGCTCATCTGCCCATTTTTAGTAGCCTAAGCGTTTCTGAACGAGTACATGTCTTTCTAGTAGGATTTTTAAGCTTAGAACGCTTCACTATTGCAGAATGAGCGGCGTTTAAATCAGGCATGGTTAGCACTCACTTAATCATTTTTATATGTTTTCTGCTCTTCAGGCTTTTTTGGCCAATTCGAGAACTTCCCACCCACCGAAGGTGAGCCTCCTTCTCTCAGTCGTTAACTCACTGCTCACCTTTGCCCATTTTTTCTTTCCCGGTATATGAGCCGTCCTAATTTGAAGAGTTTTTTTGTCGGCACCTCGTGCACCGCGGCATGCNCCCCCCCCCCCCCCCCCTTCCCCTTCATTCCCACTTCTTCGCATGCAGAGCATGGATCTTGTGTGATCATCATATCCATCCTGGCCTTTGGCCCACTCATTCCAAAGTTCACCCTGCGTTTAGAAGAGCATAGGTTGTACATCGGCTGACCACCACAAGTCATGCACATATAGGCCAAGTACACAATCAGACACAACTACGATTCTGATCAAAATTGGAATGAGTGGGAGGGGTGCAGCCTGACAACCGGACTGATCAGCTCCAAAGAGCCAGCCCTATATATCAAAAAAATCATTCATACATAATATATATTACATATTATAAAATATTGCATATTTTAGATATAGCACCTCAAAATGATTCCGCTCTCCCGCTCTCTAGATCAAAGGAATTATATCTCAACGTAAGGATTGAGGAGGGTAGATTTTGAATCAATTTATATCTTCACCCTTCACTGCTGAGAAACTGCAAACCACAGGGGGTGACAGCACAGAACCTTACTCGGATGACACCCGACCATCTACCATATTCCTAGCCTGCATGCCATGGCAGGATTGAAGAAAGGACTCCGTCATACATTCCTCCCTTCCACCCCAAGTCGATGCTTCAATCGATAAGAGAACTTCCTTTGCAGCGCTATGAGAGCTTTGAGTCCTCTTCCAAATATTACTTGATTTGTAAAACCAGAGATCCACAAAGGTTTGATGTGTCCATATCTGCTAGTACAAAGGATTGCCGTAGTTTCCACTCCATTAAATGTCAGAGTTTCTTTCATAAGAGAAGCTTTCTTATTCAGTCAGCTCAAATTCAAGGAAAAAAGATAGACTAACAATATTGATACCGACCGAGCAACAAGATAAGGTGAAAAACGCATGGATATTGGACAATAAATAGCAAGGGGGCTTAATTCGTGCACAGCAGTTTACATACCTTTGCAGTGTTTCATGAGTAGTTCAAGGAATTTCAAGATTCTGCAGAAAAGCTATGCGGACGGCTATGAAAAGGATGGTGAGAACTGTAAGACGGTTAGACATTCTAGCCACAGATACGCCGTGGGAAATTTTCCCCAGTTGGCCCCCGCTCCCACGACCACCCTTGCGGCGTCGGGCCGACGTCGAAAGCGCTTCATGGCAGTACGTTCTTCTATTGATTCGATATGCGATGTGAATCATCGCCAACTCATAAGAAAACAAAGATGGATGCTGCATTCCATGGCTAGTGTACTCAACGCCCGATTAACGGAAGCTGTTCAAGGAAGTATGAATAATCGACACGGCGAAACAGATAGAGATGGGAGAATCCTTCCATTCGCGCCCCTCAGTTGGTGCCTTCTCCCTCACCTACTCAATATGACCCCTCCATGAACGATTCGTAGCAAATCTCCCTCACAAAGCATGATCATTCCATGTAGTGAAGTAAGACATAGTGAGAGTCCCCTACCTATCTAAAAATCTTCCAGCAATCGACGAATCACAGAGGAATGGAAGCCACCCCACGAAGTTCAGGCAAAAGCTATCCCAATGACAAACAATTAAACTCGCTTCCCCCATGACTCTGCAAAGGCTTTTTGGGCCTAAAGTAATTGACGAGCAAAAGTTGACCACAGGAAAAAACAAGTCAAGCAAACAGTGAACTACAACAGTAAGGGGCAGCTTTAAGACTTTTTTATGTGCTACAATGGAAGATAGATGGATTAACTAAAGCAGGTGTACCTTGTGCTAACCGCAAATTGTAACTACTCGATCCCTTGGCCATACTAGCTAAAAACAGCGGTCAGAGGAAACAAACGGCATTACTGAACACCATGCGTTGCAAGCGGAAGCGAGAGAAGATGGAAGCAGGAAGATGGAATAAAGATGAGCCACAGGGTAAGGTGCTGGTGAAAAGACGAACAGATCATTTATAAAATCAACAATTTGTAAGTGCAGCCTTGACGTGCCTCGGATTGGAGCGGACAATGAGAAACCGGGATCGGCAGTCTTGGAAAGTCGAATTGAGAATCCTTCGAAGCGACAGATGTAAGGAGCACAAGTTTCAATGTGTTTCTCAGTGTTATACAGAAAAATCCATGATGGTGCAGAACTTGCAAAAATTGTTCGTATACTGCCCGAACTTCTCACTGTTCCACTACAAAAGGAATTGTAAAAAAGAAAGTTCTACTAGAATTGACGTTAAATAGAAGCGTCAAGCGTCCCTTTGCTATAGACAAAAATTTCACGATATGCTAGCTTTTTGGAAACGCATTATCGCAAAGGTGATTTTTTCAAGCTGCTGACAATGTGTAGATCTATACCAAATTGGTGGAGAAACGGGATCCTACCCGAAACGGCTCGCGACAAAGCCTTTCACGAACGCCTAACTTCGAAATTAATCGTAAATATTGAGTTTTTTTTTCGAAACCACCGTCGTCGATTGAAAACAAAAGGTTCTCGTCATCCACGCTAGGACGTGCGACAGCCACACTAGTCCTTACCATACAAGATGACCAACTGTATCGGTCACAGTAAGTGACACTACTGCAATCAGTCTTTTCTGCCTTGCTACAGCTATTGAGCGAAGGATCGAAAATGCGGCTGATTAGTTGTCGGACAATAAGAGCTTCCTGGTATAATCACGCTCAGATGATGTCAAGAGTATAATTTACGGCATAACCTGCATAAATAGGCCCAAAATGAAAACAGTTTAAAAAGAAAATGATTAATGGAAGCAATTTGAATGGTAGAGGACAGAAGATAACTACATCTGACCGTCGATCTTAGCCTAATTATACTTCTATTTAATCAGTGTTCCCACCAAAAAAGCTATCTGTCTCTTTCCGTTTAACTGTCGCGAAAGTTGCATGAAATGTGAAAAAGCGAAAAGTCAACAAGTGAAAGAGGCCCACCCACAGTGGGTGGAGCGCTCTCAAATTGATCGGTAGTTCGTCACAAGTTCATAACTCGTCTTCAAGACAGCTAGAGGTCAAAAAAGGCGACGTGTTCGCATAGCAAGCGAAGCTAAGATTAAGATTATTTGTTTTCATACAGCTCCGTCCGGAAGCGTTACAGAATCCAAGTAACAAAGGCGTGCGTTCACGATAGGTGAGGTGTACACCAACGCGCATGGAGCTTCGGCTGGAAGCAGTATCGCTTCAAGATATATAAATCTCCAAATGATTGATGAAAGTTACGAAAAGAAAAGGGTTCACTGTAGAAGGATTGTGCAACATGTGGACGATGTCAAAAAAACAAAATTACATAGAAAAAAGTAGAGGGAAAATTGGTGGTGAGACGATGGTAGGTCGAGATTAGCCGGTGGGTAAAGGTCGAAAATCCACAATAGTTGCCCAAAGACATTGTTAAAGATCATAGCAAGGATCGAAATTACCCGGTCACTGAGGAAATAAGGAATAGCAAAAGCAGTACGAGGTGTCAGTAGAAGCTTATGAAAGACAGAATCCTGAAGCGAATGTATTTTCTGCCAAGTAGGAGTATGATTTTCCAGGAGAAAAAAAGATGATCCACTCTCGGTAAGGAAAGCAGTCGAAAATGATATAAAAGTGATTTAGTTTGAACAGGACGTCGACTCTGTGATTTCGATTGAAACCGATTGACACCATTAACTTTGATGGATTGAGAATGGCTCTGAAGGCTAAAATCCCATAAAGTCTGTACTTGAGAAGCAATATTCTCCAAGAATCAAAAAGATGCGATTAATATTCATTTAAAATCCATTTTGAGAAACAGTGATCAGCACACCTGTAGAACACACGATGGTTGCACAGAAATATAAAAGCCAGTCAGCAACCTTGCTGATATTGTATAGTGGTGCTCGCCCGATTCAGCGGAAATTCGGGGCTTCTGTTCAAAAACCAAAAAAGAATAAATAAATAAAGAGAAAGAATAAATACCATCTGAGAGAGGCAGACAGGCTGATAACAAAATAAGGTATTAAAGATACATTGCCACGATTGCTATGTTGAGGCTTTCCTAAAAGTATGCGGAAATCAGGAAAATTCGAGACGGCGTGGTGTCAAGCTTACGTTACCGCGCTCATGGTCTGGAGATCGAATAGAGCTGAATGCACGAAGCATTCCAAAACGGGTTGACGTCAAAAATTTATCCCGTATTTTTCTAAAGATCATATCCCGGTTAGACAATGGGCTTTCATCGAGAGAACTATGGCAATTCATGCGCCCTAAAATAAGTTTGAAAGCCGGTCCAGCCGTTTTTCGAAGCATGCGTGAGTGAGGACAAGTTGACATAGAATGCTACCGGCGTGGTGATCCTACAAAATAGGCATGAAGTTGTGGTCAACGTGTAAAGGAAACACAAGTGAGCACAGACAGAAAGTGGCGGCAAAAACAGACGGCCGGAGGATAAAGGACAGTCTTGAAGCGTTCATAAATTCCGTCAGAGTGATGCACCCACGCACTTGACTTACATTCAGGTCGTAGTGGCGTACAAAATGCGTATGTGGCTCATGCAATGTCTTGCGGTGGCCAGCCGTACTTTTGTGAGTGCTTTTAGCCTCCCAGTTAAGTGTGGTCGCAACTAACCGACACCGTAGTGATGAAAGGCTTTGTTGGGCTAGGCGGATATAGATCCGGGATCCGAACTCGTGATCATGCACTGTGAAGTGCGCTACTTGCCAATGCACCACCCCGGCTGTACAAGGGTGGGTACCCGCGTCTGCCAGACGGCTGGAGAGGAAGGAGAAACGTGGGCTTTGCTCTTACGAAGGCACAATACAACTTACAACTAACCCAAAACAACAATAATCTCAAAAAGCGGATAGAAATCGAAGTAACGGGAAAAGAGTGAATGTGTGAAAGAGCGGGCAAAGAAAAAGGAAAATTGGGGAAAGAGGACGCTGAGTGAAAGCTTATGCATCGTGGGCTCGAAGTACCAGGAAATAAGTCATGAGCTTCGCAATGCGGGAATGATTCTATGTCCCTACATTCGAATAAAAACAGCGGCTCCTAATTATTCGAAGCAAAAAAAAAGACATGTCTGGAAAAACTTGTAACATTTAGTATAACAAAACGAGAGATTGGATTTATAATGAGATATGAAAACGAACGCTTAGTCAACGCTTCAGCAAACTGTACATTAGATAAGCATTCGAAAAAAGTCATGATTAAGGGGCCTATATAAAATGGAGCGGAGAACCTCTGGTAGGACGTTCAAATCTACATGACAGAATCTGCATTAGCTCACATATACGTGCATTAAATACTCAGCTGGTTAAAACAATAGCATTGATAGAAGCAGGCGTTTATCTTAGAATTGTAAGCACCGGACAAGATCGATATTTGTGAGAATCCCCGTAAGGTTACGACCACAACCAACTTATTTGGTCAAAATAAAACCACAATCACATGTTAGCGAGCGACATTGTCGAATTGAGACTAGCCTAACCTCTCTTTCGGGCAGTACAGAATTCACATCATTTCGATAATCTCATTCAGACATTTAGACAAAGTCAACTGATGGGAAATTCTGTCAAGGAGATGAATAGGAAATCAATTGTGGGAGGTGTTTTAGCCAACTGCGCCGTTTCAGACAAAGTTCAATTTTCCACAGGATGAATTTGAGGCCCCGGCGTATACCATATCTGGCACCATTAGGTCGGAAAACGGCCTAGTTAGGGAGTTATAAATGCTCAGATTGGCCCGTGTGTATCTTCGGACGAGTTTCACCGGCTTTGTAGAGACTGCACCAATCACAGGGAAGCCCACGAAGGAATTTCGTACAACTTGTCATGACCCAAGCGAAGTGAAATACAATTCTATACAGTTCTGGCTTGATGTAGTCAGCTTTTCGTGCCATTGCAAAAACTGAAATCTCGTCCGAATACCCCTTCCATCTTGTTTCCGTCATGGCAATCTCGTCCGACCTCTATTTTCCCTACTTTTGAGGAGCCATATTTTTCTCGAAATCGGCAAATTTTCTCGCACTCTTCGCTACGGATGAACTATTCCCAAACTATACTTCCGCTTCTCCAATAAAACCAGGTACCTCAAAATTATCGTGAACTGTGCTTCAAGACAGCTAAAAGTGTGGACCCAAAAGGGACTGTGAGTTGTCTTAGAAAAAGAAAAAGTCATCAAATTATTTTGTCGTGTCATAAAAAGACTGAATAAGGCTGATAAAACGACAGAGGAGCCTCAACAACGATACTCTAAAAACGAAAGTAATAATCAATTTGCGAGCAAACAGACAGGTACGGCCCACCGTCAAACATTTCAAAGCAAATTGTTTCCGGCTTAGAGTACTCTACTTAATCACGGCTTTGCCAGAGCTGAGAAATGACAGCCGATTTGCTTATTGATATATGAAAGTGTAGATCAAACGAGGAGAGATCACAAGTCAGGAAATGAAGAATTTATTTCAAGGAAACTGTTCAGTGGCGAACACCTGGGAACTCCCGATTTATCGACGAATTCCAAGTGACGATACGAGTGGGGAACGGTCTACAAAGTATTTAGCATATAATAGTTTTGGTAGCTAGCTATACACCTGCCACTGGAAGGCAAATGAACAAGAGATTTTAGTTCCTCCAGAGTTGAGAGGGATTTAGCACGTTGATAAGGAATGCGCCCACGGAGAAAAAGCATTTTGTGGAGAGCTCGAGCACTTTCCATATTGGGCTTTGGGATCTGTCACAGTTGATGACAAGTATTTCAGGTAAAGGTCGCAAACAGTCTCTGGCTAAGCGAAGTGATTGAGGTTGAAGCAGCTGCAGACGGCTGACCCATGCAGGTCGTTCTCGAGCTGGCTGCTCGCCAACCCGATCGACCCGTCGCGTCGTCGCCTCTGCGTCCGTCACCGTCTGCGTCTCCTCGCGCATCTCCGCTGTCTCCTGCTGCTGGATGCCGCTGACCGCCCCACTCTTCCCCATCCACGCCCACACTCCCTCATGCCATTGTGGATGGTCGACTGTAATAGGCATTACTTTACTCCTGTGAAGTAACACTTAGCACCCAAAATAGATGAAGTTAACAAGGAAATCTGCTCTCTGAAGTCTGCTGGGATGGGCATGTGTTTGTGAAGCTGACAGACCATCCTGAATAATCGAATAATGCCTAGTAATGGCTGTCTA